TGAGCGTGTTCAGAGCGAATGGAGGAACAAATAGGTTCTTTGTGGCCAGTGAAAAGCAATTTCCCACTGCTACCACCTGGCCCTACCACACTGAGGAAAGCATCCCACAACACTGCAAAGGAGAAAGGATAAAACAGAAACTAAAAGTAACAAGCTGGAGACTTAGGCATCCTGGATACAGCTCTGTCCCTCAGACAGAGGGCTCTACTTGTCTGTGGTTATTCTCTGGAGGGGAGGGGGCTTCGAGGAAAAGGCAGGCTGACACTTTGTGTCATCTCTCTGTCATTAGTGCTGCTTCCTTATGACACATGGTCATAGACGATCCGGGTCATTGGAGTACTGGGGAAAAACTAGTCTCCTTGGATGTTCAGTTTTCTTACCCTCTATTTCTTTATTATAGAGCCCACACATTCAGTCTCTTTTGATTCCTGTATTTTCCTTTTAGTTATAGAGGCAGAGGAGGGCAGCTTGCCAAAATGTGTACAAATTCAACATAATGAAATGGTTAGAGATTCTAGGATAGCTATTCAATTCATGGATTTTATATTCGAAGTTAATCCATTCATTCCATGTTTCAGCCATATGGTTCAGCCCTGAGACCAACTCTCAGAAGTAGGAAATTCAAGACTGTAGGAGGAAAACAGAGTTGCTTCAAGTTTCAAGATTGAACTACAAGAGTACCATGTTCCAGTCTAGTTCTTTGTCTTTGGGGTCCATTTTCAGCTAGAGGTAGAATTTAGGCCAGGTTGGATAGTGAGCAGAAGGGAGTCCCAAGAACCTGCCTTTAATGTCTAAGTTTCTTTAGGGCTTTTAGGACCTCTGGGTTCCATGAACCACATAGCATTTGCAGGGGAAAATACATATTTTTACTGACAGGGCACAGAATCAGCCCAGGTCACATGACCCCCTTAAACCTGCTCTAAAGTCGAAGTGGCCCCCTGTGTTCCAGAACTTAGAGATGAGTATGTTAGCCTTTGAGAAGTTCCTAGTGGCTGGATTAGCTCCTGCCTTACAAGACAGAGCCTCAGAAGTCTCTGCTACCAGCAAGGAGACATTGCATTTTACCTTGCTGCCATGCTAGCTTTTCTTTATGTCTCAAATCTTTCTGCAGGCATTGCTATACAAAGAAGCAAAGTTCTGTTGGGACTCCTGGGAAATCCAGGTGAAGGGGGCTGCAATCTGAGATTTGGACAAATAAACCCAGAGTGCAAGCAACTTGAGAGATTCAAAATTCTGTGGAAGCAGATCATTAGAAAAAAGAGGTGATGAGGAGATTCAGGAACCTTGGTATTGGAGGAGGTAGGGTCATTTTGTGGAACACAGGAGAGCAAGGTAGACCAGATGGATGCTCTGAGTTTCAGCCAAGCAGGAAAATGAAGGTATGTTTTTGGCATGAACATTTCATGTTCACGGTGGACTTCCTGTAGGAGGTAAGTTGCCTGTCTGCTAGAGGAGAGACTAAAACCCAGTGAGAAGAGTATGTGAAGGGTTTGCCTCCCAGTGCTTTTGCTTATCCACGAATCCAACTGAATTGCCAGAATGACCCAAAAGTCTCAAGCACAGTGCAGTGAGTGTGCGTTGGCAGTTGGCTGGGGCCTATTCTGGCCAGGAATGGCAAGTTTGTATTAGGACTCTTTACCAACACAGGCGTGGTTTTCTGTGGTTTCCTTGTAGCTAAGGATATCCTGTGCTGGGCTACTTCAGCATGTGTGCAGAGCCTGCGTCCCAGGCTCTGGTCACTGCTGGCTTCCTGGAGGTGGTAGATTTACAACAGCTGTCATGGATGTGGGCTCCCCATCCTTATAGCTTTGGTCCTTAGGGCAAACCTCATGCATCCCTAGAATTTTTGCTCAGGAATCTCTGGAAAGTAGGTCTGCCCTGCCTGGATGTCTTGTAATAATGTCCTCTTTTCCCCCACCTCCTTTCGTAGAAGACAATTGGCTTCTTGCTTAGACTTAAGATCAGCTTGTTGGTGAAAAAGGTTGTAGCTTAAGATTTTCTTCAGACAAGTGTCAGGCTGTTTCTTTCTATCTTTATATATATATAGGACAAGAGAATTCTAGTCTTGGGAAGTGTAGAAGAACTCTACTATTTATTTTGTTGGATTCAAACATTTCCACACTGTTGCCTTCCACATATATATGTGGAGGCATGAATTCGTGTGTGTGTGTGTGTGTGTGTGTGTGTGTGTGTGTGTGTGTGTGTTTAGAGGCCAGAGGTCAACACTGGAAGTTTTCCTCAATTGCTGGCTGTCTTATTTTTTAAGACAAGGTCTATCACTGAACCTGGAGTTTTTCAGTTTGGCTAGACTGGCTGGCCAGGAGGTCCCAGAGATCTTCCTATCTCTACTTTCTCAATGCTGGATTATAGGTATATATATCTGCACCTTGCTTTTTCTGGGGGTGAAGGGATCTGATGTAGGCTTTCACACTGTGCAATTGGCACGTTACCTACTGACAATTCTGTTCATTGAACACTCTTCCCAGCCCCAAATTCAAATCCATTTAGAATATTTAGTAGTAATGTTTGGAGAGGAGAAAAGGTTTTCCTAAAGAGACCTAGACTGCTGTTGTGAGGACACAGGTTTTGCCCTCAGATGTTATTCTTTCTCCTTCACCCTGCTACAACATCCAAAGTTTGTGGAGCTAAGTCAAGTGTAGCTGTGCATTAAAAGTGGGAGTAGGCAGCACACAGCAGGATGCTATCTCCTCAGAGCTGAAGCACATTGTGTAGGGCTAACAGAGGGAGCATTGGATTCACACATTACCACACTGTTGTCTTCCACATAACCCCTGCTAGTCACTCTGACTTCTTGATCTCAGCAACTGCTCAACAAATAGGAATGTTAATGGGAATATGCCCTACCCCTCCTGCACTGCTAGCTCTTTGCCTGGTATTCAGACCAACCCAAAGGAAGCTGGGGTAAGGGAAGGGTATTGTCAGCATTGACAAACAGAATCTGTTTGTAGAAACACTAAACAGAAGCTATTATTTTGTTGTTAGTTTTTGTTCTGATGAGCCAGGTATGACGGGGACTCACAAATGGTCAAATCCACAGTTCCCCAAATTTGAGATATCATGAAAGAAAAAAAAATTCTTCCCCAAATGAAAATCTGGGGAGCAACACAGAGAAGACAAATTATTTTTTGCTTCTTATGATCATTAAATCAAAATAAGTGACAGAACAAACAATCTAGCATCTATCTATATTAATTTCTTACTGCAAAGGGAGGGTCATTTTCACCAAAATCAGGAGGGTGTGCATGCCAAAAAAAGAGTGTTTTCACCTTAAGTGTAACTGACTAGCCAGCAAGAGGACAACTTCCTTCGTTATTTCCTATTCCATATGGTCTAGTGCTAACTGTAATCCACTAGTTAGTGTGCATTTTTGTACTTGGCAGCTTATGATTGGAGTGTCCACAAACAGAAAAGAACAGCTCATCAGTTGATGTCCTGATGCCTAATCAAGACTATTTTTGTCACTGATACTATGTCCAGAGAAGGTGGCTACTGCTGCTCATCAAATGAAAACTTCCAAACTTAAGGAGAAATATCTAAGTGGAGGTAGTGGTAGGACAATGGAAGCATAGACCAGGAGAATCATGTTTAATCAATGCTGATTGTTCCTCGCAAAGCTCCATGCGAACATATGCAACAAGTTAGTAGGATGACTAACTATACTGCCTGCACCACAAGGGTCTACTAGTCTGGTCTATGGGCCAAATCCAACCACTGCTCATTCTGTAAATAAATTCTAGTGGGATGCAATCATGTATGCACATTTGTGTGCATTTGTGTGTTGTTTGGCTGTCCAAATCATGGCAAACTGCAGGATTGATTTCAGCCAAGATAAGAAGGCATGCAAAGCCTGGAAAATTTATAATCTGGATCTTTGTAGACAATGCCTGTGGCCTCTACCTTTACTGTGCTCCTTGATTACATAACTGGTTATCTATACAAGCATGGAAAATAAGACCGCATACTAGGGGCTAAGTGACTTGGACCAATATTGAGATATTGTTCATCAAGCTAAAGTTATTCATCTGTCTAAAAAAGTTCAGAAGGCCTGTCCATCCAGGGCTCCTCGCCTATGCTTTCTAAGTCTCTAGTAGGATGTCCTGAAGGAAAGATACTACAAGTGCAATGCTCTTGAAGAAAAGAGCTGTATCACTTGCTCCATGTCCTCTGGTCCCAAGAATGCCCAGAATCTCTATTCTGGTGTCCGTGAAGGTCTACCTAGGCTCTGAAAGTTGTGGGTGGGGCTTAGGCAGGAATTGATGTTTGGTATGTAAAGACACTGAATCAGAGTCAAGGACCTTTTGATTTAGCCCATATGATATTGAGCAAGACACTTTCTCTCTAAGTCTAATTTTTCATTCTCTGAGACATGACATCATTAGATAATCTTGAGTTTAATCTTCACTGTTAACTGAACTGTACATATGTCCCCTTAGGGACTAGTAGTGACAATATGTTAATCAATAGCTTCTATGACTGGTAATGTAGAGGCAATGAGTCTGTTTTCACAGATCTTCAACTTCGTTAGGTATTTTTGCTATTGCCAGTTTTTTGATGGTTACTGTATGCTGGTTGCTATGCCAAGCAATGATCAACTCGCCATGATTGGCTCCTCCAGAACCACAGTGAGGTAAGCACTGTGATTCACATATAAGGGATGTGTAACTGAAGGTTCCAACTTAGGATTTCCAGCTCTAAATGCAAGGTTGCCTTGTGTCCCTGCCAGGGTCCACATTATGGCTACACCAATGGTGAGTGTTGTTAGTGAGAGTGTTACAGGCAGGTGGGAGGTTTGTGTGGGTTAGCACAGTGATCAGGGGCTACACAGATGAGTCAGAAGCATCAGTTTACACCTATCAGCCCCCACCTTCATTCACCCCACCTTTGTTGAGGACAGTCATGGCATTTCTGGTTGATAACTGCACCTTGTGGTGTCATCTGCATGATTCACTATATATTCATTCTTAAATCTGAGATCTTACCTCCTTTAAGGGGAACCTTGTCGGTTGTTCTGGGAGTGGAGTCCTGTAAGGAAAGAGAAGAGCAGGGTCACCATCCACATTTCACAAACAAGAAACAGGACAAAATGCCTCATCCAGGGAACACAAGTTCATGCAACTCAGGACCACAGTTGGAACTTCCATCTCTAGGTCAAGAGCTTTCTTTCCCTGCTACTGTTTTTCCCCCTCTTACTTCAATGTAAGTGAATAAATGCATGTACTTTTTTTCTTTCCACATTTGGTTCATCTATAAGTGTTGTAAACATACATGAAGATGTCTTTCTACCTCCACTGTTGTTGGACATTGTGAATGAATTAGTGTTTATATTCCAAAGACTGTGATGATGTTGCAAATAAACTGGTTCTCTGACTGCATGGATTTATTGCAAGCTTATTCCCAGATATAATTATCAACTATTTATAAATGTGTAGCACAAACAAAAGTGTATTTGTTTATACATTCATATTATAGTACATATGATACTTTCTATAATAATCACAAATGTCTACACAGACTTTTATATAAATGAGTAAGAAGTTGATGGAAACATTGTCTGCTGAAGAGGAAATTATGCTGAGGGTCAGAGGGTATTAAAGAGTAAAGTGGTTACAGTGTACTTTGAAGGTGACCCACAGAGATGGAGGGGCACTGGTTTCCAACAGAGTCCTCAGAGACTGGCTGTCCAGTGTTCCTCACTTCTTTCCATATTATCCTATAAAGGCATGCAAGAGGATTTCCACAATGGAATGGAATGTCACATATTCCTTTTGACTAATAGGTCTAGTGCACTTAACTGAGATAATAATAAAGAGTAGAAAAGGGTGAGTGTTTGAATGGAAAAAGAAAGTTTCCTAACATCTACCAAAGCTGGATGTTGACATCTGACTCCATCTGACTTTCTTATGCTAGTGTTGATGACCATTTGAAGGTATCATTTTAATTCATATCCTCAAGAACCTTGTAATTCTCCTTCTATGGACACACTGTTATCTGAGAAGAATGTTTCTTTCTAGTCCAAGAGGTGGAGCCCAGCCTGAGAGGCCTTGGGAATACAAGCCTTGGTGTTACACTAATCTCAAGAAAGTTTATAAATTTGAGCCCCAGTTTTTCCAGGGAAGGGATGTGAAATTGTTTTGGAAGATCCTTTCACCCCTGCTTGTTTTCTGGTTGTGTTTTTTTTCCCCGAGAGTTCTTTACATGGGTAATAATGCTTTACATTTGTGATTGCATGGTTACCCACATGCTTCTTAGGAAAACCTGACATCACAAAATTCCCCTTTATGTTGCCTCTGTGAGACAACAGCCAGCACTTCACAATTTATTAAACAGCTGACTTAATGCCAAGCTTGACTTTCGATTAGCATGAAGTGCAAACACATGAAGAAAGCTATTTCCATTTAGATGAAGCCTCACATGACTGAATGCACCAAATGCCCTGTATCCACCTAGTTACTTAGAGAGAATAGAAGAGGGAACACCATCAGAGCCATCCTAGTGGCAGAAATGCTAGAGAATCATTCTTTCAGCTTTGGGTGATGTGTGGTGTTCACTGGGTCACTCATTGGAAGATATGCTATGGACCTGGTTCATCAAAACAGCCATTTAAGAACTACTAATAAAATGGAATCATAATGGTGAGTTGTGGCACAAGCTATGAAAAGATCAGAGTGCTTAAACACAGAATTTCTGGAGCTTTAATGCTGAGGATCTTGATCTGCAAATTCCTGTTCCACAGGTTTGGGGAGAGCTTGGCTTGCTATTATTTCTCACAGGCTCCCAAGTGATACTGATATTCCTGGCCTCCAGAACATCCTTGAGCATCTATAAGCAGTGTATCTAGGATGAGGACCAATTGTATGGGATAGGAGTTTGTTCACAGAAGGGAAGTCCTTCCTTTTGCCTGTTAACTGAGAGTTTTTTCTTTCTCTTTAGGCAGGGAGATACCAAACAACTGGCTGGGGGTGGGGTAATAGCTTCATCCTTTACTCATGGTCCAGGGAATTCAGGACAGAAGTGAGACTGTTCCTATGTTGAAGAACACAGGATCTCTATAGCTTCCTCTAGCTCCCTATAGTAGATGTGATGCCAGAGTCAAAGTGAAAGACAGGCTCAGACATCTTTCAGACTTTCAAGTTGGTTTTTAAGGAAGGATGCCAAGATACTCTAGTCAAGGGCCAATTATGGACTAAAATTCTTCATCGAACTTTCCACTGGCCAAGGACAGAGCAGTTCATTAGTCTCTCCTCCTTATTCTGCAAGCAGCCCTTGCATATGACGATGGAGAAGCAAAGCCTAAGGATAGGCTGACTGCTTACATTTATCAGACATGATAGTGACTGTTAAAATTTGTCAGAGATTGTTTAGACCCCAGGCACTATGCTGAGTGCTGTCTGTAAACTGTTTTAATAAACCTTGCCCAAGAATTTGAGACCTCGGTTGGGGGAAATGAGAACTACCCTGCTCAGTGACTTGGCTTTGAGTAAGGTAGGACACAGACTTGACCTAGATGCAAACAAATGGGTACCCCCAGGCTGTCATCTCGGCTCCATAGAGTAGCTCATGGAAAAAAAATACCATGGTTACCAACCCCTGATGCATTTCCTTAAACACACTTCCTTTTTTCTTTTAACTTCTGTGAACATCTGATGGACATTCCAACAGTACCAGAGTTCTTTCTACGTGATGGAAAGAATGATCTTAGTCTGTCCCCAAGTGAAATGACCCCCATTTCAATTATTAGCGTAGAAATGTTTCCTTTTCTACTTTAATTGCTGTTATTAGAGGGCCAATGATACCTACTCTGGGCTGCTGGAGTCATACCAAGATGTAAATTATTAGAAATTGTTTGGAAACAGTAGCTATTTGAGAGGGACTGCTTTGAGCCTTATAATGTGTTTAATTTGTCATAATTCCCTGAAGGTATACTTATTTTCAGAGCAGTGTTGTAGGGGGCATGGAATAAATGTTTGCAAATGCCCTTGGCTCCCAAATTTACTTTTCAAACAAAATCCTTGCTTACTGAAATGATCAAAGGCAATTAATATATATGGAATATTCTAGAAAGACTTCTGTAGCCTCTTCCTTTCTGGATTTCACTGTCTTCTAAGGTGGTCTCTGACTCACAGCACGTAGAGATCTCTTTTATCCTTAAGGTAAGATGATTAAATATTTAATGTAGGTTACTCTGGGAGTCAAATCTTTTCCAGGTCTTATGGTATTGGTCTTTACCTGGACACCAAGAATTGGGAATTGTCAAAGACACAGAGAAGTGACTGAAGTTTTACAAAAGATCCCACAGATGAGAAACGTGGTCATACTGGCTGGGAAGGTCAATGCTCTTCAGTATTGTCTCTCTAGATTACAGAAGACAAAACAGCAGATTGTCCTCTCGAAACCAAAGGGGAGACTGAATGACAGTCATCAAAGACCCACAGGGAAAGGATTTTTGTTGGGAACTCATGGTTTGACAAGTCTGAGATTTGGACCACAGTGGCTTAAACAGCATTTCTCTCACTTGCAAGGACTTACCATCCTGTAAGATATTCATGAAAATAGGGATTCTAATTCAGTGGGTCTGAGACAGGCTCTGGGTTCTAGTTAGTCTCCTGGCTATGTCAGCATGTCTGGGCCACAGGCTAATCTTTGAGCATCACTGGCTTCAAGACATAATGTAAGAGGCAAGCACGTTATTATGGCTGTGAAAGGTGACTGCAGGGAGTTGGAGTCAGATGTGAGACTAGGAAATCTTCCTGCTCTGAAGATGGAGTTGGTACTTTGCCCTCTTGGCTTCATCTATCAGTGTGTTTTGTCATCTAGTCCCACTTCCTGCTTTGTCTTTGTCTGTGCTGGAAGATGACCATTGTTCACACCACAGTCACTCTCACAATTCAGTTTGTCTTCTTCTGAGCCATGCCTCAACTCTTTGTCTGGCTTGCTGGGTCCCATCTCCACCTGCTTCTATCCTGATAATGGAGAGCTCATCCTTATAGAACATAGTGAGTGAGTGGAAGGAATGACAGCATCTAATAATCTTCCAGCATCAATCCTCAGTATGGTAAAGGTTTCAGATAAGGATCATCAAGAAATGCCAAACTGCTGAGTAGAAGACATTCACATCTTTAGAATGTTACCCCATAGAATAGGTATTCACGAGAAAGACTATTTCACAAGCCAGACTGTTGCTAGCTGTCCCCTTAATGAAGTGACTAAACATATATCCATATATAACCAGACATATATTCCTAACTATGCTGTAATAACGCAAAGAATGGGTAAACCTCAGGCAGACCCAGAATGCAAAATGTTCTACTGCAGAATTGGCCTACCTCTTGTAGAATAGTCAGTGCCACAAAGTCAACACTTAAGGGTGAGTATAGTGGTTAGCTCAGGGATTTTCAGATTTTACTGTTTTTACAGATGTTCTGGGAAGATTATTAAAATGCAGATTTGACTCAGTAGCTCTGAGATGGGGCTAGGAAGTCTTAATTTCTCCCCACCCACCCCGTGTGTGTGTATGTGTGTGTGTGTGTGAGTGTGTGTGTGTGTGTGTGTGTGTGTGTGTGTGTGTGTGTGCATTATGTGTGCGGGTATGTGTGCCTGTGCATATTCATGGTTCTTTGAGTGTGTATGTATATAGCAATGATGTACTGTGGTGGTCAAAGAACAGCCACAGGTATCAGTTCTTAGCTTTTGCCATATTTGTCTCTTTGTTGGTCACTACTGTGTTTACTTTGAACCAATTAACTGAGAAGCTAGTGATTCTTCTGTGTCTATCTTCTATCTTGTTCTAGGAGCAATGGATTTATGGCTGTGCACCCAGATTTTGCACATTCAAGTTTAGGTCATCATGTTTGGTAGCAAAGGATTTAACCACTGAGCCATCTTTCAAGGCAAGTGTGAATTTCTAATAATCTCTCAGGACAATTATTTATTGGTTTGCTTGTTTGTTTTCCTGTGGTATTGGAGATTGAACCCAAGCCTTGCCTTTACTAGGCAAGCACCCTAGCACTGAACCACATCCCTAA